AATTTCACCTTGTGGACCTGTTTCCAGTTATGGCCCTTAGAAATACATTATTTAGGGCTGGAGGAGTGGCTCAAGTGGTAGAGTGCCTGCCTAGCAAGTGTGAAGCCCTGAGTTCAAACCCCAGTCTCTCTCTCTCTCTCTCTCTCTCTCACACACACACACACACACACACACACAGACAAAGAAATGCATTATTTTAGAAAGTTGGGACTCTGTAAACATGTCATACTCCAGTGAGGTGGAATTCCCTTAACAACAACTGTTTTTTTGAGCACTTGTGTTGTTTTGTACAGGCAGTAAGCTTTTTGAAAGAAGAAATGATGTAAGTTACACATACGTGGATTTAACTTTTTGGTTCACACTAGTGTCACTTCCCTTTAGTAATCCCTGACATTCTGCTTTACAATGCCATAGGTCATTAATGTTGAAGTGTATGGTTGGTATTATTTATTGCTGAGGACTTTGGTGACACTCATTCCTATTCTGAAACTATTGCAATAGATGATAAGGAGTAAACAACCAAAGAGGGGCGGGAGTATGGGGGCAGTAAAGCTCATCTATCATTTCTCCCTGACACTCAATGGGCTCTCCCTAGTGCTGAGGCATACATAGTGGATCACAGCTGGGGGTTTTTGAACAAAGGCTCTATATGTTTCAGCCTCCGTGTAGCTGTAAACACAGTGAAACAGAGCTCTACAAAAAACCTCTTCCTCCTGTTCTCTCTTCCTTGGCATTTTGCCATCACCACCCTCTGCCATCTACAATACGCAGAAATCTCCCTTTACCAAGGCTGTTATTGTGGTTTAGTGCTTTAAAATTCAAATGTACAAAGTCATTACAGTCACACAAACCAATAAGTAAAACACTGAGACTCTAATAAATAAATGGATGAAAAGTGGGCAAATGAAGAAAGTTAATCCTTGGTTAACAAACTTGAAAACACATTTTAACCCTCTAGAATAAAAATGTAAATAAAGCATTAACAAAACAGTTTTATGGACAGATATTCAAACAATGCTTTTTCTAGAAAAGGTGATGTTCTTAATGCTGGCAACATGTTAGTAATCACATACATTGTTTTATTAGAAGGTAATTAGTTAATATCAAAAGGGTAAAAATATTTCCGTAGTTTCAACAAACATTTCTACTTTGGGGAATTTACTATGAGAAAGTACTATACCTGTTTGAATATAAAGTGAGGTTTATTATCCTCCGGGAAGAGGGAGTCATATTTAATTCTTTACATAAATTACAAAAGTAATATTGCAATGCTTATACTCAAATATTTTATTTTGAATGGTGATGCACAGTTGAGTGAATATACCCTAACTTGGGATGACCTCAAATGATGCCGGTTCATGGTTGCTGATTGAAAAGATGACTAAGTAGTTTAACCAAAACTTACAGCTATTGTGTGTCCCAATACCTTCAAAATTACAAAGTGTTTGATATTGTTTAAACAAGTATTTTAAAGTAAATGTGTTATTGTTGAGGTCAAGAACATTCACTTACAGTTCACTTATAGGATAATCTCAATATGGTAGTGTTAATGTTATTTGAATAGTGCCCCAAAATGGGTAGTGTGATAAGTTTACATATGAGTTGATAATATGCTGTACTTTAAACAACTTAAACAAAATAGAGTTTGATATACTCTGGAAAAATGTTTGAGAATTAAAAATATGCCTCTAGTCATGACAAATACATTGAGATACTTGTGAAGAATTTGAATAAAGTTATTAGAATGGAAAAAGGGGGTGATTAAAAATTCATATATTGTTTTATAAATATGTGTGTAATCAAATGAACACTTTAAAATTTAATGTGAAATTTGATAATTTCATCTACAACCCTAAGGGTTATGTATCTAAGTTTGCCAAGACCCTCAGTTTTGAATCTTCTAATTGAGAAAAATCTGGCTTGCTTACTTCATTTTATATAATGCATGCACAATATGTTATAATAATTATGTAGATAATAAATATAATTTCCTTTTATATATGTTACAATTTTAAACATGAAAAAGTTGTAAGTATAGATACATTCATCAATGCAAATTTTTTATAATGGGAAAAATATAGAAGCTCCCTAGATGCTCAGCCTTAGGAAACCAAATAAAATGTAGTATGTCCCTAGATACAATATTGATGTAGGTTGTTAAAAACACAGATTAGGAAAGTATCCAATAGCATAGAAAATTGATTATATAATGTTAAAAAGGATACAAGTGTTCGAATGAAGTATGATTACATTTGCAGACTATGGGATAGTCTGTACATTGAAAGAAATGTACATTGCAGAGAAATAATACCAAAATGATCAATGTAGTTGGTTACTGACTCTTGATTTTCTTTTGATGTTGACATCTGTAGTGAATTCGACAGACTAAAAGAGCATTGAGTTTAGCTCCCAATCGATGTAGCTATGTTCCCAGTGAGGCCATCCAGGAACTCACCGACAAGGATGCCTGTTTTGTTGCTGATGCTGTCCAGTGGCCCTAACTCTGCCCTCTGCTGCAATGCCCTTCTCCATGGTCAGGTTTGTTTTCTGGCTGGATGATCCGGTTGCCCTTTTCCTGGACGTGGGAGTCTCCGGACTCTCTGTGCACAATCCAAAGAGAGAATAGCCTTCCATCTTTCATTTTGGACAATGTTTTAAGGTTTGAAAATTCTGTCATAGTTGCTTCAGTCTTAGTTTATTATGTCTTGTAAAATATAATGCTCCTTGTCTCCACATGTCAGGAAAGTTAAAAAGCCTTCCCTTATTTTCATTACTCACTTATTACTGCAAATTGGTTTCGGGTAATTTCTTGTGATTGGGCTTTGAAGGGAATAGAATGAAATCATAAGAGGGAGATGATTAGGAGGAAGGTCCAGGAAAAGGACACAAAAGGATGAGAATGGGGAACCACAGATGGGCGCCTTTATAGTTTACAGAGGCCTGGCAGCTTGCAGCCTTTCTTTCTTACCCATTGCCAAGGCTTTGGATTATTTTGGCCACAACTAAGTACTTTTTTTTTTTTTTTTTTTTTGGCAGTAGCACTCTTTGAATTCTTATATTTTCTTTCAGAGCCCCTAAGAAAATGCACATTCTAATATTGACCTTGACATTTTCTGGGGAAGTCAGGTTAATAACAATTCAAATGAGAAGTACTCTGAGTCTGCAAGAATATTTTTCCCTGGTACCAATATCTTTGTGTTTCTCTCCTTGTATTTTGTCCTCTTCTTTCCTATCTTCCTTAGCTCTACTAAGTAAGCAGTACACAGCAAGGACTGTTTTCTTGAAGTGTAAAAAAAAAAAAGTCTACAGACTTAGGGATAGCCAGAGTACAGTGTTTTATAGACAACTGAAACACAAGGACACCCTTGCAAGGCCTGCACAAGCTAGCAATGGTATTCTGACCACCAGAATCCTCACCCCCATGGACCTAAATGCAGAGAGGCCAAGCCCTGCTGCTCATGGCTTTGAATGTTTATTGAATGTGGGACTCAGGGACTGCAATGGACGTAGGAAGGTATATGTCAAGGTTAGAAACAGATCTTCAGATTTTCCTTAAGTACATGTAAAGTTGTAGTACCTACTTTCCAATAATTCTCTCATCTACCTCAGCCCTCTTAAATCTTCTCATTCCCAATAGAATGAATTAAATGCTTAGTGATGCTCTGTAGAAAGTCTACCATTCTCTCTCTTTGAGCAGGTGTTAGATGACTGATGGATCACAGGTATGGGAATTTCTAAGAAGCCAATTCTCATGCCTCACTATGGTGGATCCTTCCTGGGTAGTTGGAAGTTGTGACTCACATCTGTTGTGAATTGGCCCAAAGCCAGCAGCTTTTGTTCTCTGAATTGGCAGGAACTCAAATATGGGGTATTCGGGGTACAGGGAACCACAGGATGTGGACATTCTGGGGCTCTGGTGCCTCATAATGAAGCTACATCTGTTGTCAGGCAGCTGGTAAGAAGACCAAGTTTACTTTAAAAAGTGAAGATCCAAGGATCAAGAATAGAGAGAGAGATATTAGGAATAAATGCTGCAGAAAACAACAAGAAAATGATAGGGTTTGGAACAATAACATATAGGATACTTTTTACTGATGTTCTTCTGTCACAAGGTAGTCTAGTTTGCCTGGGATAAGAGAAACGAAAGAGGAAATCGCTCCATAGAGGTTTCTGAAGAAATTCAAAAATTTAACTTGTACATTGACCTTATAATGGAAATGAGAGTACAAGGCAAGCCCTGTTGGGAGCTAGCTTCAGAAGGAAACATTGACAAGTGCAAATAACAGCACTTTCAGGGAAAGTGAAAATTCCATAAATGGTCAGACTTAACATAGCTTGGAACATATAATTCTCCATCAGAATATTGGGAACCTTTCAGTATACTTATGGCAGCTGCTGTTTTGTGTGAGTTCAATCAGGGAGACAGGGGATGATTAAGCTGGTCCTTGATTCTGTTATTTAGTAGAGCCTCCTGCTCAGAGACACCTTGAGATGTCTTGTGTTCTCAGGCATTTTGTTTTTGAATGCTGCACAGGGCTATTATTGGACCCGAGGACCTTGTCTCTTTTACTCTGTAGGTGTGACACAGGAGGCACAGATGACTTATTGCAAGTCTCACCTAAAACCTAATTAATACCAGAACCTTAAGTAGCTTACAAGATTGAATTCTGAGGCCATAATATAGGAATATACACTTTCTGGTTTTCTTTTCTTTCTGCTTTCAACTATAATCAGATAATGTACTGTCTGGTTACTCAGGAGCCAGGTGTACCTTACTTTCTTGCAGGAACATTCTAAAGGATTCCTTCAGAAGACTTTGGAAAGCATGAGAACAGAGACAAGCCACAACCTGAAGACCAGGCTGCTGACTTGAGCACAGATGGGAGAATGTTAACAGTCAAGAAATATGAGGTCTTTGGCTCCTTTCCCAGAACTGCCAGGCTAAGACCTTGGCAGAGATTCAACAGGAAACTGAACTCTATTTGCATATCCTTTTATACATGAGAGATTAAAAGCTTCAACCTTGAGTGATCACAGTTTTTGAGAATCACGAGGAGGCATTAAAGAAGAGGAAGAGTGTCCCGAGGGAGATGAGCTGAAGGTGATGCAAGGTAGGTGTGAGGTTAGCAATGACTTTTAATCCCCTTTGATTAATTAAGAGTGTATTTCACTTATTTCCTTTTTGATTTTATCCTTACTGGGTCACATAAAGGAATCAGACGGCAGGGATCTCTGCTACCCAAATCTTGTGAATCTGTCAAATTTGATCCCCTTTCTCCCATAGCTAAGTCTTCCTCCTTCTAGGCAGAGATAGGAATAGTTTAGTGCTGAGGGAACCCTAGCGATAATCTGGAATAAACCCTTTAAACTGAGTCTCAGATAGTTAACTGACTTGTCCAAAGTCTCACAAAAAGTTAGGAGTAAGAGTCTGACTCCCAAATGATTTTCTTTTTCAACAGGCTGCTAGCTCTCCCTCGTCGGTGGAAGTTTCCTTGGGTTTCAGATAGCTTCTTTCCAGAGTATGATTTGGCACAGATACTCTTCACTATTGTCCACATCAGGACATGCCTTTCTGGCAAGACAGTGGTTGTCATTCCCTGACTCCACTCTCCTCCCCAAAGCCTCCTTGGACAAGGTCCCTGTAATTCTTTAATGAAGAAACCAGAGGACTGGAATGAGGATATTTATCCTTGGGGTTCATTTAGATGAACTTGGCAGTTTGGTCAATTATTTCTGTGAAAATAAACCCCATGTAGACAGCATGGACAACCGGAGGATGGTCAGATGTCCCTTCACAGGTTAGTAACTAACATTATAGCTTTTTCTTAAGGATGAGAAAAGGTCTCACCATCCTAAGATGGGAGCTTTCTGAAAATTGAGGAACTCCCCTGCCTTGCCTGCCTCTTGTCCCAGACATCTGAACCAAGTTTGCTGGAAAAAAGTTCAGTATGAAAAATTCATTCTCCCTGTTACTTCTGGTGGAGACACCTTCATCTGGTACAGACAAAGGGCAGTGAGGACCAGCATCTTATTGAGAACATAGACCCTCCCAGTGATGACCTTGCCTTTGGGGCTTTCATTATCATGAGTGTAGGGAAAAAATTAAGAGAGGTAGTATGGGAAGAGCACTCCTGATGAGATATTTTTATGAAAGATGTGCTGGCAGAACATTTGGTTTTTTGGTTTGGAAAAAGGCCAGTGGTCATAGACAATGACCACTCCCATCCCTATACCTTCAGTCTTTTTTCTTCTGGGTAAAAACCACTCACAGATAGTTAAGTGTTGAGAGGAACAGAAAATTAACATTACTGAGCACCTTTGGTATACTTATCATTCAGGTGTGTCAGGTGCTTACTAGCAGTTACTTAGTTTAAACCTTGTAATAACTCTGTGGAATTATTCCTATTTTATGGACAAGGGGTAAGAATTGAGGTTTAGAGAAGTTAAATAACCTTCTTTAAGGTCCTACAACTAGTCCAATTCTTTTCACTACTAAAAGAACTCACATGCAGTTTATAGTTCAAACTTTTAAATATGTTCATGTTCAAATAGGTGAAATGGCCTTATCAAGGTTAGGGAAAATGTTCAGATTATTGTTTTTAAGTCCAACACAAATTAATATTTTTGGTAATGATTAAGTCTATTTATTTTTTGTGTATTATTTTGCTATCTGCACTATATTGTCAATTTATTTAAGAGAGGAAAATACACTTATTTAAATTATGCCATAAGACCTTTAATTAAGATAATCAGACATGTTTCATGGATCTGAAAACATGGGAGAGATTATAAGACGTACTACCTGGAACTCAGGGAAGATCCCACTCTCATCTTTCTTTCATCCTGGCATGATTTCTGTTTATTTCCTCCAATGTCCTAGAATGCAGTGACTAAGAAAAGCAGTCATGATGGACAGTCAGCCCCACCTACAAGGCAGGTATGAGTTAGACATTCCTGGCCAATAGGACTACAGTAGGAAGGGTAAGTCAGGATTGATCACTTTGGTCCTCATCACATTTCTCTTCACTCTTTGGCCCAATTAGCTCTGGATGCAGTAAGTTGGAAAGAAAAAGATGAGGGAAATTCAAAAGACTCAAGTGGAGTCTCTGAGAACGACAGCATAAACCAAGTATGACCAGGGTGGAGGTGTAACTGGGAGGGGGAGAAAGATCAGTGATCACCTGTGCAGATTCTCTTTTTGCTCTGCCTACCAGGGAGATTTCAGCCCCCTGACCTTCTCTAGGCTCCCAGTTAAAAAAGCAAAATACTACACAGGTGAGATCTACTGTTTCAGTCTGTTGGTTGGTAAATACAACTGATTGTTGACCTTGTTCCTGGTGATCACAACTGACCATGAAAATACTTAATAACCTCCAAAGGATTAAGTTTGGACACTGGTGGTACCAGTTTATATAGAAGAATCCAAACTTAAACCAAAGGCCTTGCAGGTGATCACTAGGACTCCCCGATATTTCTCATACTCCCCCAAAAGTTGATTGTACCTCTGGACAAGAGAAGGTATTGATAAGAATCATAAGAGACATCACCTCAAAATGGCAATCCATGCATTGCCATAGAGCAACAATACAAGAAGGGTCAACCCAGGCAGATACTATGTGCTGGGGATTGAGGGCGGGAAAATGCCAGAGACATAAACAGAGGCTGCCAGTCTTTTCAGATGCCAGTGCAAGGAAAGAATCATGGGGACTCTGTGCACAGCTTCCTTCAGTAGGGCAGAGTTTGCTGAGACATAGAGGATTCTGGGAAAGTATTGGGCCCATTCTTTGGCCACAGACATGGTTTAAAAACTAGCTTTCAGAGCTGGGCATGATGGCTCATGACTGTAATCCCAGCTACTCGAAGGCAGAGATTAGGAGGATTGGGGTTTGAGGCCAGCCCAGGGGGAAAAAAGTTTGCAAGATTCCATCTCCCCAATATAAGCTGGGCGTGGAGGTTCATGCCTGTCATTCCAGCTACATGGGAGATCATACATAGTAGGACCAAGGTCTGAGGCTCCCACCCTGGTCAAAATCATGAGATGCTACCTGAAAAATAACCAAAGCAAAAAAGGGCTGGGGGTGTAGCTCAAGTGGCAGAGTGCCTGCCTAGTTAAGTGTGAAGACCCAAGTTCAAACCCCAGTACTATAAAACAACAAAACAACAACACAAAAATAATACAAAACAAGCAAAGAATCCCTTCAATGCCAGCTTTTGGTAAACTCCAGAAAAAGGATACATTTGGGTTGTGTGGAGGCAGGCTGTCTGCATGTGTGCCCTGGCCCAGCCACTATCCAACCTTGGGCAATGCCTCAGTCTCTTTATGCTTTGGTTTCTTTGTCTGTAACATGGGGGCAGTAATAGCAATGGGCTGTGATAAGGATTGAACAGATTTGAACATGCCAACTGCTTTGAACGGTGACTTCACAGAGAAAAGTTCTCCATGACCTAGACCGTTACATTCTTACCAGTAGCTTTATAGGTGCTAATGATTTTTGTTTCAAGGGATTTTCATTTTTAACTTCTTTTTGTTGAAATTTCAGAGAGGTTTTTCTTTTTCTCAACTAATAGGAAATGAAGATGACTGATCATAGAAGGTGAGAAGTGGAGGCCCTCAGGTTGTATCACGTCCAGCTTTCTTGCCTCACAAATGAGCTTGGGGAGGAGAAGCAAAGGCCTCAAGTTCCAGTTTTTGAACACAAGTCACAGTCTAGAGGGTTTATTTCCCATTGTATAACAATTCTTCACCCACAGCAATTAAACATTGTTTAATTTCTTTGTATCTCACTCAGGGTGACTCAGACATGGATCAGGCCTGTGGTCCTACACAAGGGGCTGACCAGCGCTGAGTATAATAAGATTGTCATTATTACACTTTTACTTCATTGGCTTCCTTTTCCTTAACAGCATTGCCATATTGTTGACTTGCTTTTATTTTGAACGGAAAAAGGGAATATTTCATCTCTGCTGGAAGGAAAGGAAACACTTCCTGGCAGACTGTGGCTATTGATTCATCTGTTTCTTAGCAGAGTGGGTCAGAGGCCCTGCTGTGAGGAGCAGGTCCTAATGAGCAGGGTTACACTGGCTGAGATGAGAAAGGAGACCAGGCTTTTTCTCTCACCTACTCTGCTGAGAAAGAAACTGTATAGGCACCCCAGGTTTCTCCAAAGCCACTCCATTCCTCCATGTCTCTGACTGGTTTCCTGGACTGGCAGAAAACCCAAGAAAATCACTGAGTGAACATGCTTTATTTTGGCTTCCCCATTTTTGGGGGCAAATGTGGGGACACACACGAGGGGAGGCAAAGACAGATGAGGCTGCTGGTTTTCTCCCAGGGCTGCTAGGGAAGATCCAGCTTGGGGTCAGCAACAGAAAAGCACCACCCACTTCACAACTTTTTCTTATGTTTGAGTGGATGGGCTCATCAGCCCATAGAGTGTGGTCATAGTCAAGGCCAAGTGCTCAACATTACACCTCCTATTTCTACTTGGCAACAGTTTAATTCTGCCTTCTTTCTTTTCATGTTGTAAGTTTTGATCTCTTCTGGACATCTTCCATACTGCTCCGTCCCATCTACTCTCCAACATATTTTGTGCAAATTAATGGAATTCCATCATTTGACCTTAAAAAATGAAAGTCTGAACTATTGGGAAAAAGCTTTCAGCAAGATAAAAAGGAAAAGCTGTTTCCTTTCTCCACAACCTACAGAAAAGTTGGCGTTATTATGTGTCTTAAAGTTATACGAGACTCTTTCTACAAAGGAATCATGCAAACAGCCAGATTCCAAATACTGGGCTCCCTATCTGCACCCAGACCTTGGCTAAAATGTTGCCTTCTTTGCAGTACTGGGGTTTGAACTCAGGGCCTCATGCTTGGTAGGCAGGTATTCTACCACTTGAGCCACTCCGCTAGCCCTAAATGTTGCCTTCTTATTAAATACTTTCTTGACAACCTGATTGAAAGCTGTAATCTCCCAGCTTCTTGGCAACACCCTTTCTGAGTCTCTTTCACCCCCCTCCGCAACCAACTCTTATTTTTCTCCATGGAAATTATCATCATCTAACACAAATTCTACTTATTTATTTAATTTTGTGCTTGTTTGCATTAAATATGA